ACACAGAAAACCTTAGAACTTATTTCCATTTAAACCATTCCCAACTTTTGGCACTGTACAAAATTTGCACGTCTGGCAACCAAGGCAAATTAAAAATTTAAAACATAGCCTTAAAAACATACATAATAGGGTTTTGTACCTTAAACCATCCACATTGTAAAATACAAGCAATGTGGAAATGTGACTAATGATCCAGTCCTTTAACCAAATATAATAGGACTACTGAGAAGCTTTATCATTCTTTGTAGAACAGCTTTCTTCTCACTCAAATTCACGTAATTGACTCAATATTACTGTGTGATACAGCTTATTCATAAGAAAGTTTCTTTGAAAAAAAAAATCCATTGATTATAGAGTATTTTAATTTTTAAAAGTTTTACTTCCACCAAAGGATTACTGAATTTTTTGTAAGCATCATTTTTACCTTTTGCTTTTCCTTTGTTCATAAATGAAAATATTATTTCATATTATAAAACCAGAAGACATTTCTCTAGTGCCTCTAAGACTTCATGGGTCATCATGTAGGAAAGACAATTAATACAACTGTTCCATCCTTACTCTAAGGCTTTCTTTACCCTTTGTCTTCCCCATACCATGTAACTCAGCATAAATGGCCCTGGAACACACACACTCGATCAAATGAGGTGGTTAGAATTACAAATAGGCAAGGGAGTAAAGCTGAGAATGAGCCTGGGTTTAGGAGTGAGGCCAGAAGGTGTGATAGCTGAGATGCATGTACGACTCTGTTGAAACAGAAAGCAGAGCTGATGGTAAGAGACAGCCCAGTATTAGGTGCTAGGGTTCAAGAGCTGAATGTCACACATTTTTAAAAAAACCTCATTCCTGGGCTTTTACAACTTTCAAGCTTCTGTATAAGTTATAATTGTGGTCCTACATGAGTATGTCAAATAAAACTGATGGGGAGAAAAACCCAAAATGACCATGTAATGAAACAGTTTTCTTTCTCACTTTTAAGTGAACCAATTGCTTAAGTTATACATGTCTAAATCTGGGACCACTTTAATAAAGGACATTTTATCAGTAACAACTGCAGAGAATTTCTGAATCAACTGATGTATGTGTGACTCTGGAATTAAGTGGAACTATTGTCCTATGTAATCAATGGAGACATGTGTTTGACTAATAAGTAGGCACATACAATAAGAAAATAAAGAGAAGCCAGACAGGGGTCACTGCAGTTACACACTGTTCATACGGTGTGAAAGGCAAACCAGATATGTTATAAATAAAATAAAAGATGGGCTATAAACAGACTCCTCCCTGATGTTAAATCTGGATAGCTCGCATTGAATTCTGGATTCCTGCATACCACTGAAGGCAGTAGGTCATTTTCTCACATGCTACAAGATCGAAGGAAAATCACATACCTAAACATACACACAATTCTCCTTTCCTTCTTCTTCCCTATCCCCTTTGTGCAGGGTTAAAGTTGGCAGAAAATAGCTTGGATTCTAAAGCCCTTCAGCACTTTCTGTCTTCTCTAGGATGGCGAGACAGCCAGCTACCAGATTCCCGCAGAGAAGCTATTGTCTGGAGCATTTCACAAGTGCACTACTTAAAACTAAGCAGAGCCAGTTCAGTGCAGAACACTGTGTGGGACCTTTGCTCTCGCATTATTAGGCATTACTGAATGAAATGAAAGATGAAATTTATTCACATAAACAATAATCTGAGTAGCTCTTAAGAGGTACATTTTTCTAATTTCTCTAGTAAATAAGTATTAAGGGTTTTAGAACATTAAATAAAACTGGATATCAAGTATGCATTTCTACATAAATACCACAAATACCATTTTAATATCCTGCCATCAACCATGATGAAAATGAAGAATATTCCAAAATAAGCAGTATTTCAGTGAACTATTTCAAAGTATGAAAAAAAAAAAGTAGTCAGCTAGTGCTAATTATCAAGTTAAGATATTTTTAGTGTGTTTATGTAACTTGACGTCTACGGCTGGGTCTTTATTCTGACTGCATAGTATTTTTACATATTTAACATTAACACTACAGAATTAAAAAGTAATATTCTAATTGCTTATCAACTTTATCTCCTCTTGAGATTAGTATAGTACAAGATACCTGGGGATGTTTCTCAACTGACACATATGATCAGTATTTCTATCCAGCAGAATATATACCTGGTGAAGATGTCAACTCTTAAAGACTTTGTTCTGGCTCTTCTGGCCTACATTACACCTAAATCAATCCAAAGAGTCAACAAGGAGCATAGTGACGTTGAGTGTCAAATCCTACCATATATTCAAAATAGTATCCATTTCTATTTTTAAAAGACAGTTCAGCAGTCTCTAGTTGAATGTAAAAGATGTAGGATATGCATTTATTCTGCTTACTCCTGAAATCTGACTAAACCATATAGCAAAGAAACTAAAAGCCATCAGAAACAAAGAGGAAAAGATGACAGTTGCTAGAAAAGCATTGTCAACAAAAGTTTGGAAGACAGTCTAAACAGATGAACAAGCAGTAACTGATTTAGGCTTCCGCTTTCTCTGTTACGCTGGGGTCAACAAAGGGTACAAAGTACAAAGAAAGCCAACTCATTCACAAGCTCTGGAAAATTCAGAAAATGGAGACAGCAGGGACCTTTGAAGGAGAAGTTGCAGGACGATTGAAAACAGGATGATAGGTTCAATGACTATATTAGCAGTAATCAGATTTGCCAGAGCTTTTCTTGCCTAATCATACATATTAGGTGATGGCCCTTCCCCAATACTGGCAGAACCCAGAAGAAATACTATCTGAAGATATTACATCAGCGAAGATCTGGCTTGGAAGCACCAGGCAAAACTTAGGGTGACAATGAAGACATGAAAACAAGAGGCACTGGGGGGGTCACAGATATGCATTTAAATTAATGCCTCTACATTAAATATCTAAGCCTTCTTCCCCAGTCAGTGCCTATAACACTGGCTGTCAGATTTATACCCCAAAGATGAGAGAATGGACAATTCTTGTTGGAGAAAATGACAACCCAACAACCTGCAGACACTGATATTAAGAGGTCTCCCAGGGTAATATAAAGTCCCCACTCAGTCATCTGCAAAAAAGGCCACCAACTAACAAGTTCCAGCCACTTGTACAAAACTTCTGATTTTTAACTGCCTTCTTCTTGAATATAAAGATAATCAAAGGTCATTCAACATTTTAAGACCAATCTCTAACATGACAACGATTAAAAAGGCAGGGGGGAGGGATACTCAGAAAATAAACAACACTAGGCATAAATTAAAACTTAAAAGATACTAATATTCTTAGAACTAAAAAGATGTTACACATCCATGACACAAGAATGATATGGAAATAGAGCATCAAAGTCTTCAAAATTTTTTTAAAAAGTTGATATAAAAAAATTCAGCAAAAGGGTTAAGAGAAAATTAAGAGAAAAATCAAGAAAATAAAATAAATGGAAAAAGGGAGATAATATTAAAGAACCATTCAAAGGCAGAATAAGTTATTACAAAGAGTCCCTGAAAAAGATGACAGGAAACAGAATTTTATCACAGATTCAGTATAAAACTTTCGGAAAAAAGTGCAGATTGAGCACATCCACTGACTTCTGGTCTCTCCCTCCACACCAAAATGACAGTATAAAAAAAATTTGTTTTTAAGTACATAAATAAAATGAGTGAGAAGGAAAAAAAGCAGGAAAATTCCTCTAAAAAATGACATTACTTTATTTAGAAGGCGAGGTGAATGGGAAATGATTAGTGATAGATGACAAGCCACACGTATGTGCCAAGTCCTCATTTACACAGAAACAATATCAGTTAAAGCCGAAAACTAAAATCAAGTAGGAGCTTTGTACCCACGTGGAAATACTCATGTAAATATCAAACAAAAAGGAGCTATCTCTGGAGAGGCAGAAATGGAGGAGGTAATGTTTAATTTTAATAAAAGTAAGGAAAAAATCTGCCAAGTAAAAAAGGATGAGTCCCCAGATTTAAAAGCTAAACCTAGAATTTAACCCAATTAATGATGAAAACTTCAGAATACCAAAAGAGAAAAAGCATTTAGAGGGTGCACGTAGGGGAAAGGGAGGCATATGCCAAGGGCAGGAAGGCATCGAGTTTTCTCGAGAGCCTTCAAAACTTTCAGGAAAAACTCTTTCTTAGAATTTGTACTGAGCCAAACTATCAACTGAGTATGAGGAAAAAATAATTTCAGGCATGCAGATTTCAAAATTAAAAACTGCTTTCCAGGGCACTATAGGGGAAAGTACTCTGCCAAAGGTCAGTCAACCAAAGACAAGCAGATGATGTGATCCAAAAAGAGGCACAAGGAATTCTTAGGAAGACAGTAAAGAAAATCCCAGGTTAACAGCTATGCAGTTAAGTTTACAGAATTGAGAGCTTCAGGAGGCTATTTCCAAGGGAAAACAAAAAAGAAATGATGTGAACTACTGAGGTTTAGAATTCTGTAAAGAAATTTAGCGTCTACATACAAGAATAAAAAATTGTTCAAGGAAGGTGGTAAAACATTGTAATGCTTACTATAAATAATATTTTCACACGTATCACTAAAACTGACTACTGATTTGGTAAAACAGTTGTTTCCTTACTATTCTGGAGGAACTGAAGAAAGGAAAAGGAAGGGGGAGAAAAGTGCAATAATCTAAGATTCAAGAAACACCGTTATCACCATAAGCAACATCATTTAAATATCACCATATTTAAACATATGGAAGAAAATCTCAGAATACCTAAAACAGGGGAAAGTGGCTCCTCTGTGACACGAAACTCACATAAGAAAGCGAAGGCAAGGAACTGGCATCTTTTCTTGTATTTCACTTTTTAAACTATTTACCTCTACTTGTCAGGTTTTTTCTATTAAATAAAGAGGATTTCAACAAAGAAAAATTTTCTACCCCAATTTTTTTTTCAAATCAGAGATGAGATCTATTTGTATTAGCTACAAAAGGAGCACAAACTTATATATTATTATTAATGATGTTCTGAAGGATACATTGCGAAAGATAAAACAAGCAGGCACCAGACTAAGCTGATATTCATTTCCTGTGTGGGCTTCATAAAATTGTAGTAGACTTCAGTTACTAGATACACAACTGTAGCAGCCACTGTGAAATCCACCAGCCACTGGTATTCTGGAAAATAATGCAATGCTGAAAAATAAAGGTCAAAAAAAAAAAAAGTTTACTTAAACTTTCATAAATAAATAGCTTAGGAGGATTTAATTATAATTAACTTTAGCCATGCTAAACTTTTTCATTTGTTGATATGCAATGTAAGGTTTGCAAATATGAGACTCTAAAAATGCAGGAAACAGAGAATGTTGACACTCAAAGTTAAATTTTAATATCTCACAAATTAAACAATTTCTTAAGACCTGGAATGATTACCAAAAACTATTTAAACTGTTTTTAAAAATATATGATTACAAAATGAGCTGGTATTTTCCCAGCTGATTAGCTGTTTTCTACAGAAATTAAAAAATCAGGGTTAAAAAAATTTTTTTAAAGATTTTATTTACTATTTCAGACAGAGAGAAAGCAGGAGCAGAGGGAGAGCAGAGGGAGAGGGAGATAATCTCCAGTAGATTCTGCACTGACCACAGAGCCTGGTGGGAGGCTCAATCTTGTGACACTGAGATCATGAGAAACCAAGAGTTGGACGCTTAACCAACTGAGCCATGCAGGCAACCCTCTTTTAAATATATTTTTTAATTTTTAAAAAGATTTTACTTATTTATTTATTTGTGAGAGAGAGAGAGACAGACAGAGGAGGAGAGAGAAAGAGAATGAGCAAGGGGGGGGCAAGGAGAGAGGGAAAAGCAGACTCCCCACTGAGCAGGCAGGAGACAGGGGCTGGACCCTAGGATCATGACCTCAGCCGAAGTCAGGCTCGAGACTTTTTTTTAAGATCCTAAAGTATGATACTTTAACATGAAGGTATAAATTGGTGTACAAAGTTAAGTTTATTTACATTTTTCATTTCTGTGAAGTAAGAGAGTTAAGCTTTGCTATAATTATTAACTGCATGCATTAAAGGAAGATTAATAATTTTTTGAGTTACTGCAGATTGAAATAACCAATACATATCCTTTTTATTCTTGCTTGTGTTCCTGCAAGAAAAGTCGATGAAATGCCTTCTATAAAAACGATAGCCCTTCCAACAGAGGGTTTACATTAAAATTAGTGTTCTCCGATAGTAAATCAGATTCTATCTCTCTTTTCATCTCAGGTATTCTGGTTTACTTCTGCCTGAGTGCAGTCCAAAGCGTCAGCATCATTTGGCAGAAGACCTCCTGAAAATGTGGGAGTAAGTCACATACATAAACATCAATTCCTATGTTTCCATAATAAAATGATCTACATTGCTGTGGAAAAATTTTAGTTGCAAAATGTAGTATCTGAGAATAACTTAAAATCATGCATTTATAGAAAAAGTATTTTGAAAATAAAACACCACTCAAAGTAAGATATTTAAAATATTAAAACAACTAACTCATATCTTATAACAAAAATTGCAAATCCTTTTATGACTGGGTATTTTTAATTTCCATCTAGTTATTTTAACTGTGTTAGGTTTTTTTTTCTTTTTTTCCTGATAAATATATTAGCTTATGAATAGCAGTCTGAAAGATTTATCCTGAAGTAGCTGAAGGACTCTTACCCTCTAGCCACCTCACTTCTCTCAAATCACCCTAAAATCTAAAATCTGGAATCAGTGACTTCTCAGAAGGAAGACAGGGAAATGGGAAGAACAGACAGACGAATACCTAGTTGGGTAGACAGACATCCATTTCTCTAAAAGCTTTCAATTTTTATTAAGAACTGAAGCAAGTGTTCCAATTTGTGCTGCCCACATTCAGAGGCTTCCCCCAGGAAATTCACTCACAGCAAACAGGCAAGTGACATTTCAAGTAGTTTTCTATTTTTATGCACTTTTAGAGGTTCTTATAACAGATAGCTAATACAAATTAAGACAGACTTTCAAGATACTTATTGGGATACCAGTAATATATATACATTCAACAAAAGTACAAATTATACATAATCTTGGCTACGTATTTTACCCAAGTATTATATTCTTTTTGTATTCAATAATATAATTATCTATGTGCCTTTTATCAGGCTATTGGAAACTAAAGAAAACTCATCAAACCTAGTAGTTTGCCTTAAGCTCATGAGTGTACCTTATTAAATTCAAGGAGAAAACCCTCTACTTTTACCTAAACACACATACACAGCATGCATTCACAAATGATTACAGAAACATAAATAAAACATCTCCCCATTTTACTCTGCTCTTGAAATTACGTGGCCAGTTACTAAACTACTACCATTTGCAATTAGTTTCAAAACTGTATTAATGAAACAAAATATTGAAGAAGCTATGTGATAAGGCCTTAATTTTAATCTTTATAAGTTCACTAAAATAGCCTAGTTCTCACTAACTGGCTCTACCACATTTGGCGTACAACCCGCACCAAGTTATTGAACTATATGAATTCAATGAGTTCAAGGGGGAATAAAAAAAGGTCAATAAAAGTTACATACCTCATAGAACTGGAAGAAGACTAATTAAAGTAAAGCACTTAAAACAATGCCTGATACTCACATTTAAGCTATTATTAAAGTTAATAAGCTGAAAATTATTCCTTTAACATGAGTTACTAGTAAGAATGACAAAAATCTGTACTAGAAATCAGGGAGAATGTGTATATATTCTTATATTTACATGTCTATGAACATTTTATACATGCAAGCCACATAAAAGATTAATAAAACCAATGTGACAACTAGTCAAAAAGTCAAAGTGCTTTTAAATGTTTTAGATTTTGCATGAAAAATAGTTAAAAAGAAAAAAGAGGATGACAAAAGCAGTCATAACAGTCTTAATAATATTATACTGTTCCTCACTGACCTTTTTGGATTCTAGGACACCCTTTTTATATTATATAGAACATATTAAAAAATACATATGTGTGTGTGTGTGTGTGTGCGTGTATAGAATACACACGTAAAAATCTTTGTTAAATATAGAATCAACTTTCAAATATCCTGAAGCCATTTTGTATCACTAAATAATTCTATATGAGATGTTACATGAATCTACTAAGGTTTTTCAGGGTGGTTATGATTTAACACAAGAAGGGCCAAATTACATATGATATTTATACATTACCAAAATTATTTTTTTAACATGTTATTTTTATTCCTCACTTATCAGGTAAATCATTAGTTCTCAAACCTGGTCCAAAGTCAGAACCACTAAGAGCATTTTAAAAAATATAAGTTCTCAGAACCCACTCTAGATTTACTGGATCTCCAGGGGTAGATATGAAAAATCTTTCTTTTTAAAGAGCTGCTCAAGGGATTCCGAGGGACAGTCAGGTTTGATAGTATAGTATCATCTTAGATGCCATTCCCTTACAGGATCCAAATAATTTCATATAAATTTTATTTTAAATATAAAATCATTATAGTTATTATACAATTACAAACATTGATATACAGGGGGGAGAAAAAAAACACATAACTTATCAGAAATATCCCATGGGCAAAAGTAAATCTTGAATCAAGTTTTCTGATTCCTAATCCAGATCATTGCTCTAAAGCCACTTTCCTATCTACTAAGCATGAGCATAAAAGTTCAGGTAATTAAAAACAAACACCCAAAAGCATTTGTGCAAGCCACACCATAAAAGGAGCAGAATGGCACTTACGGCAATATAGTCTAGAATTCAAAATACTGAAAAGTCACTGTGATCTCGACATAAAACAGAAAGTGCATAACAAACACGTAAGTCAGCCTTTCTGAAAAATGGGAAAAATAATTCTTAGTACAGGTTAAGTGAATTGAAAAAGAAATTCAATTCAAATGAAGTCATTTTGAGCTTCTAAGTTCTAAAAAAGATTTCATATTCCGTAAAATGGACTTAATGATTAAAAACCAAACAAAAAATAGATAAAATGAAAGTACTTTCACTAGCATAGCAGAAAACTGAGATTTACAGAACACTTTACCAAGATTTCCCTTACCTAAAGTATCCACTTCTGTAACTGACTTTGTTTCTAGATGGAGATCAATATCCTTTGGAATGGTCAGTGGCTTACTTTCAATGTGACCATTATATTTCCTATAAAAATCAGACAAGTGACACAAAAAGCAAGTTACCTATACTGTTATCCAAGCGCTTGTATCAACTAATCAAAAGTGGGGTGTTAAATTCCACAGTATAAAAGAAGCAGAATTTTTAATATTTCATCAAAAAGGAGGTACAACAGTCAAAGGTAGTTTTTAAAGGGAAGACTACAAAGTGTGGATGTAAATTATTATGTGAGTATGCAGATTACCAGGGAAAATAGTTACCTAAATTAGTGACAAAATCTTCATTATTAGCTTAGCACTTCAGCCTATTTCTCCTACTCTCCTGTGTAGATTTAAAGACAACTAACGTCTTCTCCTTTAGGTACAAGAGTAAAAGCAAATAAAAAATTAAAGAAACACCATTATGACGCAATATTTAAACATATGGAAGAAAACCTCAGAATACTTTAAAGAGGATAAAGTGGCTCCTCTGTGACATGAAATTCACTTAAGAAAGCAAAGGCAAGGAACTGGCATCTTTTCTAGTATTTCACTTCAAAACAATTTAACTATTTCTTAGGTGCAAGGACAAAAGCCAATGAAACAAAAATGCATTTCTCTTTGAAATTATCTATGTCCACACATACGTATAAAGAGACCTGTAGCTATAAACAAGTCAGAGTTGAAGAAATATATTAAGATTTATGTGTATAAGAAATTCAGTAAGGTGAAAGGCTCATCTGGAGTTGCTTTTACTGAATCACGAATGAGGGAAATAAAAGAGTTCTTTAGGTGCACATGTATCATTCCTAAATTTAATTTTTAAAAGACAATCACATATATATAGAAAGTAATAAACTAAGTTTCAAAAGCATTAATCACAATACCAAGAAACAATTTTCATTTATTCTGGAAAAACCTCAGTAAAAATATCAATTTATGTCAATAAACCAAACAGTAATTATTGCTACCAGGATTAAGACAGTGCCATTTTGGCATCTTTTTGTTCAAGTAAAGCCTTTTCTAAATAAAAACAGAAGGAGGGCTTACATTTAATATTCCAATGATCTTCAAGGTATATTGGCAATGATAAGTGTAAAAGAGAATGGTAGCAAGATCAGAAAAGTCTTTTTAAAATTTCCAATTTCATGCCAAAGAATCATGTTTAAAAAATGTTTAAAATTTAAAAAAAAAAATTTAGCACTTACAAATGTATTAGCCCAGGTTAATATCATTTTTATGATACACATGAGAAATTTGGTGATTATTTTTTGTCACTGACATTTTGTAATATATCAGAATCATAGTTTTTGGTCCTAAGAAGTCCTCCCCCGCTAAGGACACTAAGGCCCATATAGAGAGGCTAATTATCATGTACTTTACTTGAGAATTCAATTCAAATAGAGATAAAAATTTTAAAGCTGGAAAGATCCTTCAAAATTACTGTTTGGTCCTTCCATTTCAACAGATAAGACTGCTGTGGTCTATTCAGTGAGGTTTATTAGCAGGCAGTTCTCTTCATAAAGGTTTAAATGCCAATATAATTTGCAGCAAGTGAATGGTACCTACAAAATTACTCTGTCTACCCTTTCTATTTGAAAAAATAAAAAGAAGTCAAAAGCACATAAATTTGCCCAATCTCATAATAACAGCAAAACCTGGGAAAGAACCCAAATCAACAGGTAAATGAGTTACAGGGTAAAAAGATGAGCTCTGGTTTTCTCCCCAGTCAACCCCCACCAAGTTCTAATATGATGGCTATACTGTTTTCATAATATACAAAGAATAAAATTAACCATTCTTAAGTAAAATAATCACTTCTGTGCTCACATATTAAATTACTAAATACTGGGTTTTCTTAAAAGGTAATTCAAAACTATTTTAGATCATGGGTTTTAATCTCAAATTTATCAAACGCTCATAGCGTTATCAGTAAAAGTTCCTTTAACCAAGGTACGAGATAGATTTACATAAATTGTGTCAAATACTTAAAACTTTATAAGCTCAACAATGTAACTTACCTATCTTTTCTGCTTTTCCCTTTTTGCTGCTTCCCTGCAAGAATTCTTAATTCTTCTTCTGTAGGATGTTGATACCATCTCAAACTAAGAAAAAAAGAATCTTTTTAAATAAAGGAATTAAGATCACCAGAATTATTCATTTATTGTACAAATATTTATTAAGTTTCCTATTTGTGAAGACACTGAAGGGAAAGATCAGGTGAAAAACTCTAATCTGAATTAAGATACTACTGCTTATGCCTTAAAAGGCTTTTGATTCAAATCTAGCACTTACCAAGCACTTACTAGATGCCAGACCCTGCAATGCTGTTTATAAGTATATTTCTTATAACTAACAATTATTAATATATATTAAGGCTACACAGGCCTACTATTAAAAGTAAATGGACTGAACTCTGCAGGCAAGCTGGCATGAACACATTAGAATTCTCCACCCATCCTTCATTTACACAGAAGGAATTGAGAGTTGTCTTAAAAAGAGTTCTCTGAATGTCCTCAAAATAAAAGTAGTCTTTGCTTTCCTTTCCTGTCCTCCCCTCCTTTAATTTAGTTGGAGAATTCTCAAACTTTATGTATACAAAAATAAGAGTAAATCGTATTTATAAAACCCTTAAAGTTAGGGCTCCAATTAACTGGGTGTATTTACCTCCACCACACCATCAAAACACCCAAACAAGTGTATTCCCTCCTAAGCACCCACCTGCTCATTTTCAATTTCCTGTCTCATCTGAATTTCCTATCTACCAACTACCTAAACTTGATATTCAAGTTTAATTCTCAATGTGCCCTCTCCACATATTATCATTAATTCTGTTTTTTAACTGTAGTCCTTGTCTTCCCTGCACACTCTCCTACATACATTCTCCCCCCCCCCGGCAACAAATGCATTCTGATCCCAACTTTAGTTATCTTTCCATAATGCAAATCTTATCAAGGTAAGCACCTGTTGGAATCCTTTCCAAGAGTCTTCACAAAGTAAAGCAGTGAGGAGACAGCTAGGCAAAGACTTTGATCAAGGCCTTGTTTTTATAAAGGAGAAACATATCCCTGGTATTGCTAAACTTCCAATTTTTCAATTACAAAATCTAAATTTTTAAAATAAAATATCTCAAAAAAATGCTAGCAACTGATCTGCTCTTTTTGAAAATTGGCAATTTGCATAATGACTGGATATCTGATGATGTTAGGAAATTACTGTTAAAAACTTTTAGCTGTAAAAACTGGATTATAGTTATTTTTAAAAGCTCACATAAAGATATACACAGAAATATCTATGAATGAAATAATATTTGCTACAAAATAATATGTTGGGTAGAGGAGAGATGAAGGGGAACACAGATGAAACAAGTTGACCACCAGGTGTTAATTGTGATAGGTACATAGATCATTATTTTCATTATATATTCACTGTATTATTGTCTACTCTTTGCACATGTTTGAAATTTTTCACTGAAGTTAGAACACACATTGTAAGGCCCAAATATGCACAGGATTTGTGACCTGTTTCCACAGACTTTCATGATCAGACTACCTACTTTACCGGACTCACCTTCAACAACTACCTTTTTAAACATGACATTCTAGCTAACTAAACAACATTTTATTCCACAAATTTGTTCATCCCTTGATGTTTCTGCACATATTCTTCTATCTGCTTATAAACATCTATGCTCCTATCTGGAAAACATCTAATTTACATTCTACTATTTGTAAGGCAAGTTGTCCTGTAGTATAAAAAAGAAATATATCTGTAATTATCCCCAGTTCTTGGCAAAGAGCTTTAAAAGCCTTTGGAATTTCCTGAGTGAGAGGGGGTGTCTTTATTATGTTAACAAGGGAGCTCCTAGTGGACCTCCAGATAGCTTCAGAATGGTGGCTGGTCACCAGAAATAGCAACATGTGATTAGAGTTGGGATGTTTAGACACTTGATCTGCAGGAGATGGGGGCTAGAGATTAAGTTCAATCACACATCTAGTTATTTAAAATCATACCTATGTAATGAAATTCCGTAAAATCTCATGGCAATGAAGCTCTGAGAAGCATCCTTGCTGGCCAAAACACTAATGTGCTTGGAGGGTGACATGCCCTGACTTCACAGAGAGGCCATGGAAACTGCACTTCTTCCCAAACCTATTCCTCTATCATCTTTATAACAAAACTGTAATCACAAGTATAGAACTTTCTTGAGTTCTAGTTGTTCTAGGAAATTACTGAACATGAGGGGTGTCATAGAAATGCCCCAATTTATAGCCAGTAGCCAGTTTTCAGAAGTATGGGTGGCCTGGGGATTCCTAGAACTTGCAGCTGGCATCTGAAGCCTTGGCATTCTTACAGAGAACTCTGTCTTTCACCAATGGAGGCTATGTTAACTCCAGGTAGTGTCAAAATTAAACTGCAGTTGGTATCAGACCAGTTGGATTAAAATGAAATATTCCCCTAACTGAAAGATTCTTGGGAGGAAAGATTTTATGATTTGTTTCTGTATGCTTCAAAACTAGTACAGTTACTGGCATATAGTAAGTGCTCAAAAAGGATCACCGAACCAAAATGAATTCAGTTCTCCTCATAGTTGAAAGGTTTTCAAATAAAATATTTATCCCAACCAAAAAGTCTCTAAACTGTAATTAACATGGGTGAAGAGGCACTTCCTGAAATTTCCCTTTAAGTCCAGAATTTTAACTTACAGTCGATTCTTGTTATTCGCGGTAGTTATGTTCTATAAAGTCGCCGCGAACACTGAACATTGCTCCTAGGGGAAATACAGGGTTAGGTTCCTGCAAGCCTCTGGTCACAACATTTTCATCAATCAATACAAAACCTTGTTTATGTGTGTTTATGTTTAAAGACACCTTATTTAATATATACTGTTGATTCATTAAACATTTAATTCACAGCCAACAGCACTATAACTCATGCCTAAATAAAGCTTACTTGTAACAACTGTAATCTTAAATATAGTATTTTCCTGAGCTCTGTGAGTATTTCTAGCAAATTTTCTCAATAAGGCAAAGCCTTCTTGTGCTTAGGAACACTAGAAAGCCCTTCAGCACTATGCTTGGAGGCCATTTTAAACGGTAAAATCAACAAAAAGCTAAAACGTGAACAACATGATACTAAACAGACCACGAAAAGCACACTTGTTTACAATATGAAAGGTGAAACAAGGTCTCAGCTGGGAACACGGGCACTGGGCCACTCAAATTTTTTGCCACTCTGGATATGTCTTTGAATGACCTTGAAAGCACAAGTATGAATTTGGGGGTTACAAATGAACTTCAGCAAGTACGCAGATCGCAAATACAGAATCCATGAATAAAAAGATTGAGTGCATAACATTTAGAAGACCAATTATGCAATAACTCACAAAGACTAAAATTAAGTCATTTAGCTCTGAGAAATTATTAATTATTGCTAATCAATGAAAGAACTCTTAGTATAGGAAAACTTAAGTTACTTTTAGAACACTACGATAATGAGAATTTTAAGATTCTTCATTTTTTAGGAGTCATTTTCTTTTTAAATACAATCAAACTTGTTTAATCTCACTTTTGTAAATCCATTTTTCTAAAATGGATTGCACTTATTATTACTTTTTATTGGGCAACTCAGGTCATCTACATCAGTAATAATTACTGTTCAAAGCTGGAACCTAAGGATGCTGGGTGCTCTTAGGGCCACTTCTTGTCTGCTACTCACGTACGATGCATTCATCCATCCATTCATTCGTCACACACTTATGGAGTTCCTTAGAGCCAAGTACTCTGCTGGGCAATGGAGATTTAATCCCATACAATAAAGCCAAAGACCCTGCTTTCCTGATACTTATATTCTGGCTGGGAAATATTTAACCAATTAAAATATGACCAAAAAAAAAAAAAAAAGAATCACAAATTTGGATACTACACAAAATTGGATACTACACAAAAGAACCAAACAAATGGTGAAAATGAGAGAGACAAGACTTAAGTTGTAGGTTAGGAAAATCCCTCTGAGATGACATTTACCCAGCAACCTAAAGGATGAGAAGAATGGAGGGGAACAGCATTCCAGGCAGAGAGGAGCATGTCCAAAAGCACAAAGGCATGAAAGAGCACAGAACACTGCAGTAACCAAAAGGCCAAAGAGGCAGTTGTAGCACATGCATAGAGAAATGTATGAGGGAGGCTGAAGAGATACAAAGTAACAGATCATGCAAAGCCTCCTCTGTCGCAGTATGGAGTTTAGATTTTATGCTAAAATAATGGTCTCAAAACAGGAGAGAGCAATAACTTGATCTGCCTTTTAGATCTCTTTTGCTGCTCTGTGAATCAGAAGTAGGCAAGAAAAAGAGATATATTTTGGACATTGAGTCAACAGGTCTTGCTAATGGACTAAAAGGAGGAAGTGGGGCAAAAAAAGAATGAAGGGTAATCTATCCTTTTGATTTGAGGAAGATGGTAGTACATATGCTGAGATGGAGCAGAATAGGAAGAACCACGAATTTAAATATGCTGAGTTGTTAAGTATCTATGAGACATCATGTGAAAACATCAAGAGGACAACTATTTATTGGAATCTAGAACTCAGAGATAACTTAGGGTCATTAGGTAATTGTGGTATTTATGGAATCAATAAGATCACCTAAGGGGAAAATAAAACATGGCAGAAGTCTAAAAATTAATAAGGAAGTGAAAAGTAGGGGCACCTGGGCGGCTTTGTTGGTTAAGCAGCTGCCTTTAGCTCAGGTCATGATCCCAGGGTCCTGGGATCAAGTCCTGCATCAAGCTCCCTGCTCAGTGGACAGCCTGCTTCTCCCTCTCCCTCTGCCTCCCACCCCAACTTGTGCTTGCTCTATCTCAAATAAATAAAATCTTCAAAAAAAGGGAGGTGAAAAGTAGAGTTCATAAAGACAATTCATGTGACAAACGTTGCTATAATAGAAAAAAGGGAAATAGGCCAAAACTAAGAAATGGACATGGAAGGGGCTTCGTGTTTTAAGGCAGAAAGGAGGCAGGCCTATGACTCTTCTTTATATATTGTTACTTTTAATAAGAGATCTTTAAAAAAAAAATTATGTGTATGTGTGTGTGTGCTAACAGGAATG